CTACATGATTAACTGGTATGCAATCAACGCAAGTGATGATGGGAGGCAGAATTACGTAGCTTTATTTATTTATCTTGAGGGTTAGTATCTCCTTTTAATCTCATTTTTTGAAGGAATCAAATAAGGAAGAAAAAACATTCCGGAAGGAAAACTAAGCAAAAGTTGGTCAATGTGGGAAGGGAGGGGGTTGAGGGTAGGATAGTTGCCGTTCCCTTCCTAGACAACGTAATATGTGCTCTGAAATGGACCATTATTATCGTTTAATTAACTGTTAAGCTTAATATTTATATCGCAAAAGAGCTTCCATATACTGTCCTAGTGTAAAAGTAAGCCGTCTTTTATAAAAGTCAGCGCTTCTCGGAAAAGTCCATTGTTAACTATTGTAAACATTTAGTTTACTTCTGTACTTTTTGTTGGGGTATAATATATCGTTGAGTTGAATTGTTGACCAGCGGCTTTCAATGATTTTGTTAGGCCATAAATTTCACTCTGAATTGACTACGAGTTTTACTCTTTGATGACAAGAAGCACACGACAGGTGTGACCAGTCAACAGGGGATGCTCACCTCCATGGCACCTGATCCCACCTATGTTTCCGAGGTTCGTGTTTTCTCTTATATTAATTGTATTGTTTAATTGGCCTTTTGAGCCTGATTACTGTTTGTTATTTTCACATTTCATTCACTACGTCCAGCCTGTCTTAAGGACTAATGACACAAACTTTTTTTTTTTAAAGTCATGGTAATTAAAACTAAATTCATATTTATTTAAGTAAAATGAATAGGTTTAGCCACATAGATTCAATTTTTTAGTTCAAAGTTTTACAATAATGTCCTATAAAGTGATAAAAAGTTAATACATCTAAAAGGGTAACTGCGAAAAGGTTGAAATTTAAACATCATCAAAGTATACAGTTTCCTAATAACTTAGAAATTTGATATTCGCATCATTTAGAATATTTAATACTTCTGATTCCAGTCAACCAAGGTGACCTAGATCTATACTACCTTGGCTGGATTCCTTAATATCATAAAATTCCATACAAACAGAGACACACTGAAGGATTCAGCATTGCTCTACCAAGCACCAATCTTCACTCGACCCTAACAAAAAAAAATACTATAGTTAACTATAGTTTACTATAGTTAACTATAGTGATAACTTTGACACTATGAAAACTTTGATTTACTATAGTGATAACTTTGACACTTTGATTTACTAAAGTGATAACTTTGACACTTTGATTTACTAAAGTGATAACTACGAAAACTTTGATTTACTTTAGTGATCACTATGAAAACTTTGATTTACTATGGTGAAAACGTGGATTTACTATAGTGATCACTTTGACACTTTGATTTACTATAATTAACGATAGTAGTTGTTTTTTTTTTTTTTTTTGGTTAGGGTTCTTACAAAAATATTAACTGCTGTAAAGGGGAAAGTTCAGACGTACTGTACTACAACATATTCTAGAAGTGGTGTAAATCAAATGTGGATTCTCAAAGCCTCCAAAAAACTTTAGAAAATTTAAAATCATCCGTTTTCTCAAGTCAGTAACACCAAAACATACTACTTTTCTACAATTTAAACAATGAAATATATGGAGATAACGAACAGTATTCAAGCTCAAAAGTTCATTAAACAATACAAAATAGGAGCAGAGCAAACACGGACCTCCAAACATTAAAGGTGGGATGAGGTGCCACGGAGGAGTGAGCATCCCCTGGCGAATGGGTCACACGCGCCGTGTGCTCCTTGTCATGATCGGGTAATAACGGAAAAATCCGTCGACAATTCAGTATGTAAATAATGGCCTAACAATTAGTATGAAAAACGTCAGTCAGCATCTGACTCAATGATAAATTGTATTTGCTGACAAGGTCATTGTATCGACCATAGAAATTACGAAATGACTTTAAACGAGACTGCTGATATTCTTGTTTCATCAACTGGTTTGTCAATAATTTACCTCGTTTTAGAAATTTTTCATACGTAGAGCATGCTCTTGCGTATCGAATCAACTGAGAGATATATTACCCGTATGCAAGTGATGAAGGTATATTACTGCATAAGTAAGGGAAGTTGACGTTTATCATAAAGCTTGTTTGTTAGATTACAATTAACGTCTTTTTCAAGTAAAATATTCAAATATGAAAGAGATGTGTCAGACTCTGTGGTATCTTTTATCTCAAGCTCACCGGGATATATCGTATCGACATAAGAATGGAAATAGCCATTGTTAATTGACAATACGTTGTCGATATATCTAAATGTCAAGTTGAAGGCCACAGCAAGTGTTTTCTTCTTTTTCACGTACAAGATTTTGGACAAATTCTGCTTCATATGAATACAAAAAAAGGTCTGCTTATAACGGGACGCAATTGGTACAACCAATTCCTGACGATAAATTAAAAACTAAACTTTTTGATATCATAGACAACTGCTTCTTCAATAAAAATGAAAGTCAGAAATTTTGGTATCTTGTGATTGCAATTCGTCACTAACAAAATTACTTTGTTAAGAATGACTCTGATTCTACATACAAAAATTTGATATTAAAAGGATAGTAGAGTTCCTCGTTGACAGCATTTATGTAGTCTTCGGAGACCAGGCCTTCCAACAAGCTGTTGGAATTCAGATGGGCAATAATTGTGCTTCTTTATTAACCGATCTGTCCCTTACAGTAGAATTTCTTCAAAAACTTCTACGTGAGAAAAATAACACTTGCAGTGGCCTTCAACTCGACATTCAGATAAACGACGTATTATCAATTAACAATAGTTATTTCCGTTCATATCTCGACTCAATATATCCCATTGAACTTGAATAAAAGACACCCCAGAGTCCGCCACATCAGTTTCATATTTGGATATTTTACTGAAAAGGGCCAACAAACAACTAAATTGTATAACAAACGAGAAAACTTCGGCTTTTCCTTCGTCAACTTTCCTTATTTATGTAGTAATATCCTGCATATGGTGTTAACATCTTCCAACTTATTCCATACTCAGGAGCATACTCCGAGTACGATTAATTTTTAAACAGAGGGAGGCTACTGACAAATAAGTTAATATTACAGGGATTTCAAGAACTTCGTTTAAAGTCAGAATTTCGTAAGTTCTATGGTCATAATAATGACATTGTTAGCAAAGGTAACCTATCATTGGGTCATATTTTGGCAAACGTGTTTCATAACAATTGTTAGGCCTTTGTTTTTATACTGAACATGATTACCGAATGCTCCGTCTACCTGATCAATACATAAGGCTCAAAGCGGGTATGCCCGGTCAACAGGGGATGCTTACTCCTCCAAGGCACCCACCTCTGGAATTTCCAGGGTTTCCGTGTTTATGCCCTCTTCACAGATTTCTATTGTTTATAGATTTTTTTTAGATCGATCACTGTTAAATTCACTTTTTTCATTAGAACCGAAGTAAAATATATATATATATATATATATATCATTCCAGGCATCCATTTTTTGTGTGTCATATGTCCTTAAAGTTGCAATTTTTTCCAATTTCTGCATTTGACACAGATACATTTCCAGCATTATTTATCATGCTTTGTCATTCCTTATCAAATAGGGATTGTATTAAATTGTATTGCAAGTGCCCTTATTTTCTGGATGAGTGATAAGGTTTTAATAGTTTTGCAGAATCATTCAAAGCCCCTATACATCTAATATTAACCTGCATGGATTATACCACAAGGATACATTCTATAAATCATTCTGACTATTCCATAATAAGTGTATAGCGTCACCTAACGCTTACTAACTCTCTTCCTTGATAACTTGATAAAATGTGTAGGGATCAGTTAGATACAGATTCCTACTTCCAAATATGCTTCAAATCTTGCCAGGTGCATTTTCCCTTTCAAAATTATGAAGTAGCAAAAACTTTTTGATGGTGATTACTGGTGAAGATTTTGATATGTCACATTCCCAAGTACTCTATCGTGGAAAAATAAACCGAGTAACACTATTTTACTCTGGGTAACTCTTTTACTCTTTTGAAATTTCAATATAAAAGATTCAATATTATATATGAAAATTTCAGCCATCAATCTGCAATCTTTAAAACTTCTAAATATCCATCGAATCCATCGAACAGTTAAATAAATGATGAATATCATGGCAGTATCTTTGAAATTAACCAAAGAATATTTCCATATTTCTCCCAGCCTTCGGCACATCAAAAAGAAAATTGCGCTCTTTCGAGGAATTAAATCTAAATCCAGTGTCATTGTAGGCGTACGCAAGTTAAAATAACAGTATAGAATGTATTCCTGGGAGTTGAATTGTCAATTATTTAAGGAATTTCCAGGGGATGGGGGGGGGGAGGCGTGTTTTATGTCCTGTTCACAGAAGATCGATCACTGTCCAATTCGCTATCGTCACCTTTTTCATTAAGTAGGAATTTATAAATTTGTATATTTATTCGTTTTAACTAATTTTATTTTATTTTTTTAAAACATGTCAAATTAAAAGTAAAGATTTTGTGTTGTTATTTCTTTGGAGGAGGCATATAGTTGCCTTTGATTGTAATGGTACACTTTTTAGTAAAGTGGCTCACACTGAAGGGTGCTATATAACCTTTACTGCCCGCGCAGTGGTTTTGCTCGTGAGTGAAAGCCAAGGGAAATTGAACATAGTTCAACTCCAAAAGAACCTCATTTCTCAATTGCATTGAGAGCCATATTTTGTCCATGCAGGAAGCCCTTCACTAGCCTCCGGCTTTGGGACAATGATGCAGTCTTAGACTTAAGTTAAAATTCCAGACATTCGTAAAAAAGAATATTATAAACTGACAGTCAAAATTAAAATTAACAACATGAAAGAAAAATGATTTTTAAAACTTTTTAAATTTTATGTGCTTTCTATAATGAAATGTTATGACAATACATGAAATTCGGATTTAAGCTTTAAATTGCTTCAGGATCTTGAAGCCAGGTAACATTTTGCTTACGACGATTAATCTCATTTTCCTTTCGTAAGTTATTGACTCCAAATTGTACATATGGAATTAACATTTGTTGTTATGCCGACAAAAATTGAGTTTCGTATATTTACCTAAACTAAAAGAGAAAACAGAAAGAAAATATATTTAATAATTTAAGTAATTTTCACTCTCCTTTGACTTTCAGAATATACATTTAAAAAATCAAAATCTGAGCACCCAGAACAAATGAGTATTTCATTCATACGTGTAATAACGTAAAACTTTTTTGGTGAGCAATGAAAAGATATAAAGTATGAACTAAACATCATCGTCTAAGGAAATGTCTGTAAATTCAATTTGATAGTCTTCATCATTGACATAAGCATGATTATCGTTCTTAATAAACTTAACCGTCCTGTTTCCTGCATACCCATTTCCCATACCATTAACAATCCCATTATCGTCATATGCACAATGATTGATTTCAGCCACCACCCTCCTGGGCTCCCTTTCTTTCTGATGCTTATGGCGCACATTGTGTTTAATATCATCATCCTCTTGGTCATTCACATCAAGGATAGGAGCGTCAACTTCTGGTAAAGAGTTTAATAACTTCTTAATAAACCACTTCTCGTTCACTCTGAGAGTCACGTGAGTTTTGATGTAAAATCGAACTTCCTCGTCCATGGTTTCTAGGTCAGCATCCTCACCAATGATAACAATTAAATGATTACTTCGGACACGTAAAGACTTTTCACTGGCTATTCTGAATGTAAAAACTGACCACTCGTCTTCGAGGTGGTTACCAGAAAGAATGAACAATGTATGTAAGGAACTGTCAATAGCCTTTAAAATGTTTTCCTCTTTTGAAGCACCTGGTACAAAGTCCCGATCAGGCAGGCATAAGAAATATCCATTATTTTCTAATGTTGGTCTTAATTCATTCATAATATAGGGCATTTCACTATCGGAATAGGAAACAAAAGCATGTCTTTTGTACATGTCATTATTGAATCCCTCTTCCCCGTATGTTGCCTGAATAAAGTCTTTAATATCGGGAAGACTTTTAACTCTACCATGCTGGTCCTCATACTGTGGCATGGAGTATAGTAGTTTTTCATGAAATAGCGCCTGATTTGCGTCGATATATCGCCCTCTTTTAATATATCTCTGCATATCTTTTATCATTACTTGTTTCAAGACTACGTCATGACACACAACAATGGCGTAGTTGGTTCGTAGTTCTTTGATCTTTTCTTGCGCTTCATTCCAAGCTACTTTTAACAAGTCGTCTTCGATAAATTCGGGGGATAGAATTATCAGCATTCGCTTACTATGTTTTACAATGCTTGCAATGTTCTCCATATAGGTAAAACCAGCGACAAAATCTCTCATCATTTCACACACAACGTAATAATCTTTCTGAAATTCCAAGTACTTCACAACATTTTCCATCACCCATTCCGTCGTATCCGGGGCATGAAGAACCAAAACATCAATGATTTCTTTTCCATCCTTATCATCTTTATCAAATGGATGGATTCCAAAGTAAATATACAGTAAAACCTTTACTTCTAGCCTATAAACATACATCAAACACAGCAAAATGATGAGAAGTACCAGTATCAAGGAACTGGTGACGCTGGGTATGACTACATGCTTAACTGAGTCAAAGTCTTCTAAACAAACGAAATCTTCATCTGGAATTCGGATCAAAAAGTTACCCTTTTCTGCTTCATCATCTACATTACATGTGATGTCTGACACACGTTCCACAACATCGCTATTCTTTAGAACCCAGTGTTTTATCCATTTCGTATGACAGTCACATTTTAATGGATTGTTTATGAAATTCATGGACATCAGCCGCATATTTCTGAGTGCCCTAGGAAGAGAAACAAGGTAATTGGAATCCACATACAACGTACTAAGAAGAGTCATTTTACTTATGGCTCCATCACTAATTCTTGTTAACTGATTTTCGGATAAAAGAAGTTGTCTTATATTCGGTAGATACTGTAAATTTTCTTCATTGATCGTAGATATGTTATTATGCTGAAACCAGAGGTCGAGAATACCCTCCGGTAAAATTTTGGGCAAGTCCCGATATAGTCGATTTCGACAATCAACAATCGTTATGTGTGTTATCGATCTGGAATAACAAGTACAATTTGATGGGCAGTTTGTAATAGTTCTCTCACAATACGTATCTGATTCTTGTATTTTCAGCATGTTTTTCCCTTTAAATTCTTGGGGAGTGGAGCATTTCCAATCGTTGAAGAAATACTCCTTTCCATCAAGCAAACCATCCTTCTCGAGGATTGCCACAAGTCTACTAAGGTGTGTAATACCACAATCGCATCGAAGATGAGTTCCTTCTAAAATGATTTCAAAGTACTTTAAAATCAAGAGTAACTTTAATTTCATTCTACCTGATCTTTCCTTAAGTTCTCGTTGCTCTCCGAAAAATTCGATATTTAAGTTGTCTATTTTACTTCCAGTAAGATCAATTTTTCGGTTTCTATCGAGGATATTATCGAGAAGCAAGTTTGGATTTTTAACGATAACATTATAACTAAGATCATTTTTGGGCACGGAGCCTTTGACTAATTGTTCGGCTATCGAACTATATTCTAGATTATTCACATATTTAGTAAAGTTTGTGAAATGAATTTGCGTATATTTAAAGCTGGCCAGTTTGATGGCTCTAAGGTAGAATACTACGTCTGGTAGGTGGATCAATGGATTTTCGTCGAAATATAAAAATTCCAGTTTCGTCGAATAGAAAGGCCACTCCACATTTTCCAATGAAACTATATTATTATTTTGTAAATGCAACTCTTGCAAATTCTCCATGAATCTGAAAACATCTTTATGGATTCTCTCGATTCTGTTACGTGAAAAGTCCATATAGATTAATTCCTTGTTATCAATAAATAGATCCATCTGTATCTCTGTCAAATTATTAGAGTGGCAATCAAGATGCTTGAGCAAAGGAAGTTCTCGAAATAAAGAGGAAGGGAGTCTTTTTATGCTATTTAAACTTATATCAATGTGTTCAATCTGTTTCAATTTCTGAAACAAATTCTCTGGTAATTCCGTTAGTCCGTTTCCTGAGAATTTCAGTGCTTGTAGCCTGCCTTCGAATTCGTAGTTCTGTAAGATAGAAATATTATTCATGTTCAGATTAAGATATCTACGAAAATGATGCTTTTCTACAGTTATGTGTAAGGATTTAGCATAGTGATTGAGCAGATATTCCGAAGATGAAAGATTATAACTGAGTAAAGGAGATGAATCACTCCAAGGAAATTGAATTGGATTTTGAAGTCCCGTCAGTGAAAGTTCCAGAGAAACTAGATTAGGAAATTTCGCACTGAAATCGAATAAAGACGTATTGATCTTAACGTTCTGAATGGTCAAATCTTTCATATTTGGAAAGTCATGATTGCACTGAAACATGTTTATAATGTCTTCCAAGTCTGTCACATTATCTTGTGAAGCTTTATTAAATATCCATAGTGTTGTCACTTGTTTCATCAGGTTGCACATTGATTTGTTCGTGCCTTTACTTTCAATCGTTGGAAGATTTGTGTCCATCAAAAGCACGTGAAAAGGAAGAACCATGCTTCCGAGAATGTAAAAAGATTCTTCTGTCATCTGACATTTTATCACCTGGATATATGATATAATATTTGGCCTATGCCTACCGGTGTACGGTGTTATTTGTATTATAAGAGGCGTGTAGCACTGAAAGTTAAAAACACTTACAATAGAATCATCACTAAAGTTGTAGTGTTCCAAAATCCTTGTGCTATTCAAAAGACATTGATTCTTAATGGAACAGTTATTTTCTTTCAGTCCAAGGAACAATGATATGGAAACTGTTTTCAGGGGTTTATCATTTTGGCTGAGGAGATGGTTGTCAGTTATATTGGTCTTAGTGACTTTACACTCTGGTATGCAACCATTGCCCATTTCATTTCCATGTGCCATAAAAATATAAAACAAGGCCGCCAGAAATGTATTTAAAAATGAATACCAATACATGGCTGCGTAGAAATGCCAAAAGGCGAATTTTGTCCATTTATAAATCCTTTGCCCTCTTTGTATATAGATATTATATGATTTGGCGAAATTGTTTTGCTTTTCATGAAGTTGAAGATATCAAGGAGTGGTTTCTGCCTATTCACAAATAATTCGATTTCTCTCTAACTCCCTATCATGCTTGGATTCGAATATGTAGCCTGAAGTAGTGATCTGATTTATGGCATCTGGAAAAAATATAAAAAGATCTTTATTCTTACTCCTCTATTTTATGAATGATACAAATGATTTTTTTTTTTCGTAGTTGGAGCAAGTAATCTCAAGTACATTTAAATTACATGTTTGTTTTGTTTCAGAAAGTGGGGCAAATTATGGTGACCTTGAAACGACCTTGACTTAATTGAAAGGTGGGGATATACATTAACCTATTTCACAAACAATATTCCTTCATGATTTGTAATACAATGACTGAGGAACTTGCCAAAACAAGAAGTAAGATATATGTACATGACTAGACTCTGTCCTGATCGTCGAAATTACTCTGAAAAACTTTTATTTAGTTTACACATTATTCTTGTGATGGTCCTAAATACATGTACGCCCAGAAAAAAAGCTGACCTTAATACGTCGGATTTGTATATCAAACGAAAAAAGTTAATGAATATAATCCATGCGTCTTAAATCAATTACATAAGTATGACTACGAAGGACGTTACTTACTGTAAATGTCTTTAAGAAAAATACCTTAGCTTGTCGATTACTTTAATAAATTAATTACGCAATTAAATTATTTTAAAAGCAATTAGGCCTAAAGAGGTTCCATGACTGTGAGAGGTCTAATTCATTGACAAGATCACTTACCTTTAACAGGTTGACATAAGTGTGCGTCTTTCACATTCGTTGATACATCGAAGGTTGTAATAGGGGAATAATGTCTAGCACTTTTTTTAATGTCATTTTCACATCGTGTAACAGTTTGTCCATTCGTATTAAGACAATAAATTCTTTCCGCTTTAATACTCATCTGTGGTATATAGTTCCTGAAAACTTACCTTGAAAATCCATTTACTGTAGAATAATAACATAATATATAGGTCATCACAGAGTTAAATAATGACAAATGGCGGATCTTGACAAAGCGGAACAAATTTTGAAACCTGTAGAACGACTCGCCAGACGTGGGCCCATTACATCATTGGAAACGATGTTCTTGATCAATCAAACCTTTTATTGCACCTACAGCTGATATCATTTGAACTTTATAGATTTTAATATCAAAGATTATATAGCAGAGAGGCAACTATAATTTTCGTTATGATTCTGTTTGCAAATACATCATTTGGTTGGGTCTCAATATAAAAGACATGCATGGTTTCTACCAATTGCTTTGTTCAATCATATAAATGTAATATTTACATTGTAGGAGTTGAAATTACCTAATCTTACTTTTTAAAAATATATATATATAGCTCTTATTTATCTGCAGAGGCAAGGTAAAAAGTGATTGTGAAACAATTTGAATTAAGTCCAGGCCAGTACAAAGAGAGAATTAGTATTTCCTGTAAACATTCAGACCAGCGTTTTGCAATATCGTGTAAAAATCTGTGATTCAATTTTTTTTTTAGAAATCATTTGAGAATGAATTAAAACCCGGAAAACAATTGCATAGACATATTCAGTACGATAATGCCTTATCCTTATTCTGTAGATTTTTAGTTTTAATTTTAAAATGTAATTAGTATTCTGTCTTTAATTAGTGGAAAGGTAAGGTGATTCATAATTACACAGAGAGGATTACAAAGTGATAATATAATTACAGTAATAATACTGTATCAATATAACTTACAAAGAATATCTTAATCCCGACCAAAATTGTACATCTCAATATGATATTCAATACAAAACAAAAATGAAAAAAAATCATCCTGATTTTTTTATGCCTATTTGAAAGAAATTGGGTATGAAAATCAAGAAGATGTGAAATACTTGAAATCCTAAGAGTGGTGTGAAAATTACAGATATCTATCTACTCACAGAATTGAGATGAGTTGACATTTCCAATCAGTCAAGGATCAATTCCTGTAATAATAAGCATCCATTGTTAACAAATGACACAAAAGACAGCGCTATGCGTATAAACTATTAATAACCGGACTATTAACCCCTGCCGTTTAATTAAGCATATGTTTTGTGGACACGCTTGTTGGGTTTTTTTTCAAGAAATGGTATATATTCTTTTCATAATTGACTGGATTGAATTTGTTGTAGCTTAAGGCACTCAGACACGTGGGTAACTGACAATCATCACTGTGAATTGCCATTCAGATAGCATAAATATTTATCACAAGTAATACAGAATTACCCGAAAGACATACTATTTGAGCCTATTAATATATTTTATGCTTGTACAAAAAAGGAATATATCTGTGCCAGGAAGTTAAAATATTACGTATATTATATATGTATGAAGATATTCGTATTATCTTAAAGATAGCGAGAGTAATGAACCTCTTTGTTACATGTATTTTGATCCAAACCATTCTTTATAAGTAGCATAATTTTTTCGGGGAAAAAAACAGACTGATGTTCCTCTTTTTTGAATCCTTAACTTCGCAAATTAACATAAGTCAAAATAATGATAGTCTATGACGTTATTTGCATTAATATTCCCATGTTTGAAGTTATTCAGATCTAACATTGTGAAATTACTCTCTCATTAACAAATGATCTTGACTTTGAGATAGTATATTGAATAAAGTTCACAAAATTATTCATATATAGGAATGATTTCTATAGTCATTGAAAACAACATACATGAATTTGAAATTTAAAAAATCTTTGATTTGATAAAAGTAATAAATTAAAAAACCAAGAGCAAAAAATTATTTCTTTAAAAACAAAACTTAATATGAAGGGAAATCATACTCCTTGGAAGGTAAAATTTTAAAAAGTACATTTTAAATAAAATACATAGTTAACTATAAACATAATGATCAAATTTTAAATGGATGTAGGCTGCTGACAAATAAATTGATGCTGAAAAGATTTATACAATTCTATTTAAAGTCAGCATCTTATAATTATATTCTTCTTTTGGTCGTATTTTGGCTGATAAATTTCACAGTAATATAAAGGTCATTATTTGTATGCTAATTTTGACTGCGGATCACTACGACAAGACGATAACGCGCTCAAGGCAGTGTGACCAGTCGACAAGGGAAACTTACTCTTCCTAGGCACCTTATTTCACTTCTCCTTGTTTAGTCCTGTTTACGTTTCGTATTGTTTATGAAATGTATGGAGATAACGAACAGTCTTAAAGAACAAAAGTCCATTAAACAATACAAATTTTGGAGCAGAGCAAACACGGACCCCTAAAACATCAAAGGTGGGATCAGGTGCCATTGATCACAAGATTGATCACAACATTTTTGAAATGAATTATATTAGTTACTGACGATCACCAATATTCGGATACTTTATTTTCGAGACATTTTCATTTGTGTTGGTACATATAAGCAAAAAAAAAAAAAAATCCAAATTGTGCTCTTTATTGTATACTATCTTAAAAGCTTAAAAACTCCGGCGAACGTGTTGAAAATTTAAGTCACAAAATTTTACAAAATCAGAAACATCAAAACTTACGACATTTCAAAACTTTATACAATCATTTTCCACGATAAAGTTTAGGCTTTTTGACATCACAGACAACTGATTTTTCAATGAATATGGAACTCGTAAATTTACCTACCTTGCCATTGGACATCTGCAAAATTATGTCGTAATAACATTCTAATTGTACACACACAAGTACTCCGTTGTTGATATTAAAAAGATGCTTGAGTTTCTGGACAATATCTATATAGTTTTTCTAGAACAAGTCTTGCAACAATCTGTGGAAATTTTTATGGGCATTAATTGCCTACCGTTATTATCAGACCTATTTTTGCATTCATATGAAGCAGAAATTATTCAGGAACTTCTACATAAAAAGAAGAAGTCTCTTGCTGTGACCATCAATTCGACATTAAGATATATCGACGATTTTTATCAATTAACAATATCCATTTTCGTTCCTAAATTGATTCGATATATCCCTTTGAACTCGAAATAAAAGTCACAACAGAGTCTGACACATGTTTCATATTTGGATATTTACTAGAAAAAGACATTAATGGCAAACTGACAACAAAAATTTATGGTAAATGTGATGACATCAACTTTCATCATCTGTTTCCCTTATTTATGTAGCAATATACCATTATCACCAGCATATGGAGTTTTTATCTCCCAGTTGATTCGATATGCAGGAGCATGCTCTTAGTAAACAATTTCTAAAATGAGGCAAGCTATTGACTAATACGTTGACGATACAAGGATTTCAAAAGTCGACAAAGGGTGTTTACTCCCCCATGACTTATGGTCCAACCTCTGTTTGCTCAGCTCCCAATTCTTATTGCTATTTTGAGTTTGATTATTGTTCGTTATCTGTACATTTCATAATAGATATAAACATGAGAATAAATCATTGGCCTGCCGATGGTCTCGCATAATAACGCCAAAATAAAGATTTTTTTGAATTACAAGCTTTACAGTTTTATGTCCTTCTAGGTCAATGCATATTATTTTAACACATGGCTTACTTTCAAAGTGTAACAAAAACAATTCCATATTCGGTTACTCTTGCAATGATATCCAATTTTGTCGATTTGTGTGAAAATAAAGGTGAGAGGTTTGGGTTCTATAAAGAAATATTACATAATATCTACTGGAAAAATAAGAACATACAAATGAATATATATATATATATATATATATATATATATATATATATATATATATATATATATATATATATATATATATATATATATACATGTATATATATACATGTATATATATATATATATATAGAGAGAGAGAGAGAGAGAGAGAGAGGAGTAACTATTTCTTTTTTCACAATATTATACTCCTTTTAGAATTGTTAAATGCATTAACGTAAATTTGAACTCAAAATTTCAGCTTTCATTGAGTCTGGTAACAAAAGAAAGATAACTCCCAAATATGCAGCACTGTTAAGGCGTACAATGAAGAATTCATCAGAATATAGAAGTGCACAAAAAGATACCTTTTTAAACTGAATTTATTTTTATAAAACTATTATATTATCACATGACCTTAATATTAAATGAAATAACATATCATACCCCACTCTGTATTGAACCTAGTTTGGTCATCTTATTTGACGGTCAAGTGATAAATGCATATAATGTGTACAGCATGGAGGTCATAAACAAATTTCAATATCGCAAGGCATACCCTAATTAATTAAAAATTAAAGTGATAATTTGTATCTAAATATCTTGTAGTTTCTGGAAAGTGCTGCAGCTTTACATATAATTCGCATTTTATTTGTTTAAATTTCAAGTAATTGGCCCCAAGTTGAAATAAGTGTGACTTTTACAAAGTAGTTTATGTATTTATTAAGTAACGCTCTCGATTTCTGGAAAGCAGCAGCACTTTTCAAAGTAAGAAATATGTCCTTTATGGTCAAGATCTATTAAGTGATTGCAAAAAGGCGATGTGATGAGGCATCTCGGTGTTTTATATGCCAACCCTGTAAGCAAGAGGTCAATGTAAGTGATTCATTTTCTCTGTGATTTTTGACGCGCTTTTCATGATACTATCAAGCAATTTTTTTTAAAAGAAACCCATTTTCGTTCTGTTAAAGTGATATCGGTGAAAATTACATAGATTGTACTTGAAACTCATCTGGAGTAGAGTTAGTATGAAATATATGGAGATAACGAACAGTATTCAAGCTCAAAAGTCCATTAAACAATACAAAATAGGAGCAGAGCAAACACGGACCTCCAAACATAGTAGGCTTTTTCAAACAAACCAATTTCAATTCAAAGAATAACCCGAATGTATTTATACAGATAAATATGACAGCAATCTTTGAATAAAACCCTGATGTCTTTTTTAAACTAAATAATTTAGATTGTACACAATGTTGGAATTATAATTTTCTCTATTATCCTTCTTCCTACTGAAAAAAAAATAGTTAGGCCATCAATTTTACCCTGAAATGTTTATGGATTCTTCCGTTTACCTGATCATGACAAGGGGCACCACGGCAGGTGGTGTGAACGGTCGACATGGGATGCATACTTCTCCATGGTATCTGATCCCACATCTGTTTCAGAGGCCCGTGTTTGCTCTGCTCATTATTATTATTCGTTACCTTCACATTTCATTTGTATAGGAGGATCGATTTCTTCTAATCAGGATCATAAACGACAACTCTTTTTTTCTTTATTACAGTTTTGTGATAGGGAATCAAGATTTGCCTCCCTTATCTTGAAATCTTAATATGTCTAATCAAATGATGTGAATACAATCATAAACAGGGTATGCATTTTATAAAATCTTCAGTAATTTTTTTTTAAATACAAGACATTGAATGGAAACCCCATTTCGTTTATGCTTTTTATCGTCATTGCAAAGAATTAAGCACATTTTCTTCCAAAAAGAAAAAGACCCCAAGGAAACTTATTTTGGTAAATAAATGTATATTATATTATTATATATACCACATTTTTATCGGAACAGACTATCACAATAATAACGACACCGTTTTTATGCACTTTAAATTGAAACAGTTTGATGAAATATGAAGATTAAGCAACTGTTGAAACAGGTCATTTAATTTATCTGCACAACGAGAGGCGGGTCAAGTATTTTTTTCCCCAGTGAAAATCTATTTTTGTAATCCTATCCGTTGTTTAGAAGTTCATATGATTTCTAATTTCTGACAGGTTGAAAGATTTATCACCATCTTAAAACTCATCCATTAGACCTAAAGTAAACCTGAAACAATTAATTATTTTATTATTTATACAATATCTGTATCTTATAAACAAAAGTAGGTCATATTCAAATAACTATACAAAATGAGGACATTAAAGAGTTTCTTTTCTGATATCATTATAATTATGCAAATATATTCGAAAATAAGGAAACGAGTTCTAATTCCTATACCACGATAAAATGTTCTGATATAGGATAAATC